GGCGGTGAGGGTGGTGGGGGTGGTGAGGGCGGTGCGGGGGGGGGTGGAAAAGACTCTTTAAGCAGAAAACTAGGAACGGTGTGAGTGGGGAAGCAGAGTGGTGGGGACGGTGAGGGTGGTGGGGCGGTCAAGGCGGTGGGAGGACGGGGCAGCTTGAGGCGGTGAAGCGGCGTGGGTGGTGGGGGTGGTGGGGGGCGCGGGGGTGGTGGAGCGGTGTGGGTGGCCGCAAACAATGAGGGCGGTGAGGGCGGGGGGGTGTGGCGGTGTGGGTGGCCGCAAGCTGGTGGGGGCGGTGAGGGTGGTGGGGGTGGTGAGGGTGGTGAGAGCGGTGAGGGCACGCACCTTAAGAAAGTGGAGGAATGCTAGGAACGGTGGGCAGCAGAGTGGTGGGGACGGTGAGGAGCACGGGGCAGCGGTCGCTGGGGCGGTGTGGGGTGGGTGGTGGAGGCGGTGTGGGTGGCCGCTTCTAAAACACCTAAGAAAGTGGAGGAATGCTCGGAACGGTGTGAGTGGGTCGTCAGCAGAGTGGTAGGGTGGTGGGGGCGGTCAAGGCAGTGGGTGGCCGCAAGCTGGTGGGGGCGGAGGGCGGGGGTGGCGACGAACAAACCTCTCGGGATACCACTGGCGCCGCCCACCAAGGGGGCCGGCAGATACGGAGGCATAAGGCGAAGGCGGCGGGGAGGGGGCGGCGTTCTCGCAGTGCTTTCTTTCTTACTTTCTCTCGTTCTTGATTTTATCTCTCTTTCTCTCTCTGTGCTCACCACCCAGAGGCGTGGCTCGGGTCTTGGGTGGAGAGTTCCGCCAATGCGGCAGACGAGCATACAGTGGCCAACCTGAGATGCCGCGCCGTGCCGCTGCTGCTTCACTTTGTCGCCGTTGTCTGATGCGAGGAGTAGGAAAGCCTGGGGGCGGGGCGCATAGCAGCCACACAGCGGCCATTCGATTAGCTGGGCTCACAATCGCGCAGGACAAGAGGACAGCCATTGAAATCCCGTGTATCCAGGACGAGATCAGGCGATTGCGGCTACTTTGCGGTGGAACGATGTGGGTCCCGGATTGCCCAGCACATTGACCGAGACTTACCTCTTCCGAGTATGTGGCGCGGCTCAGTGGAGAATGCATTGGGCTGCAGCGCCTTACGAAGCCGTCCAAGACAGCAGTTGCTCCACGAGTGCTGTTCGTGCCAAATGGCCGATGCTACATACCACTCCGACACGAACTGCCCGCATCTGCGTGGTTGCACGACACAGTCTTCCGGGACTGAGCGCCGATTTGGATGAAGCGATCGAGACCCAAGATGAGACGAAATTTGTTTCCGACTGTTCTCGTGTGTGACGACCTGCCAGGTCACCTTCATGCAGTGGCCACATGGAAGCCGTTGCGTGTGCGGAAGAAGGCGCCGCAACTGTTTTTCTTTAAGCGAAGGGCCTGGGCCGCATCGGTAACACGCATGGAAACCCATGGAAAGGACTGCTTTCCACATATGCGTTTTGGGTCAGGGACTTCGATTGCACTGATTCAATGATAGCTGCCAGAGTGCTCTAATCCTAACCAAACCATTTGGTTATATTATATGTGTGTGTATAGAAGAAGTACGGACACAGGTGCGCGTGTGGTGTATGCAATGGCATTATATACACAGACACATATATGATATATGCAATTAAACTTTCCGCATGTTCCGTGAAAATCCATTGAACTTCCAGTTACATACTAATGAATTTGTTTTCAACCAGCACTTCCCCCCATTGGCTTCCACCAAAACCGATTGGAAATCCATGAAAAGACTGTCCTGTTCCGATCAGAGTTGTATCAGAAGCAATCGAAATCCGTTTCAAACTGTCAAAATCAATGGAAACCCAATAAGGTGCCAGTAACATGCATCATGCTTGTATTCAAAAACAATGCAACCCCATTGAGCCATGAAGTTTCATGCAAAACCATTAACTTGAAATTAAAACTCTTTAAGATTCCTTGTCACATGGCATTCAACAACCATCCAAAATTAATCGTTTCCCCCCGCTTTTACTAAACACACCCTAATGGCCCGAATAATAGAAGCACATCGGGGCGAATATTCCCGAAGTCATCCCAGCCCCAGAAACCCCAGGACAAGCTATTGCGACATTGGAAGTTGCAACATCTTCCGGCCATGGCAAGCTCGTGGGGAATTCAAGGAACGAGATTAGGAAGGAAGGCAGGCCGGAAGGAAGGAACGAATTCAACAGATTTCGATTTTTTGCGAATACAAACCTAGTAGGGTTTCAACAAGATGCCGACGCGTTGCATGGGTTTCCATTGCTTTGTTTGAACTCAACGGATGTTCTGCATCGTTGCTGAATACACATGTAATGGATTCGATTGACACTGTAACAGCAGCTTACTGCACTGTCATGGATTTTAATGAAAGCCGAAACATGTCCGATACCGCCGTAATCTAAATTATTCGACAAATTTTATTAGCATTGTAACGGTTTTACATTGATACTGATGGAACTAGACAATTCCTTCACCCTCCTATATATTAAACGGGCCCCCCTAATAAACTCGGAAAACATTTTTATTATTAGGCGGTCTGTTTATGTCCACGGCCAGTTTTGAGGGGTAGTGCTGTTGCTCTTATTCCCGCTCCTGCCTTTGCTTTGCTTTTGCTGCTGCTGCTGCTCTTGCTGATGCTCCCGCTTTTTGCTTTCACTTTTCCTACGGGTACTTGGAGCCTCGAAACCCTCCCTCCTTATTGCCCAAAAAAGAAAGTCACCACATATTACACCCTAGAGCCCGCAAGGATACGCGGACTGGCCCAGCCAGATTAAGGCACCCTTGTCGAAAAGAAGACGAAAGAAGTCGTTCAGCAACAACATCAGTCACAACCAACTTTTGCTGTATAGAAGCGGACAGAAGAGGACAAGTCACAAGTAAGAGCAAAAAAGTTGCAACTGCGTGTGCTTCCGTGCATATTGCACAGGACAACATCATATGCTGGGGTGACGATTCAGAGCTCCAGCTGCAAGTTCCAGGGAAGGCCCATGTGCAACAGTGACTGCAGCTGCAACCCGCTGTAGCTGCATCTGGTTGCTGCTTCGATTCGTTGCTTCCTCCTGCGGCAGGACCAAGGCCGCAGCGGCGTGCAGGAGCAGCTTGCGAGGGCGACCACTGGGATGTATTCATCCCGGAAGAATTGTGAACTCGTATCGGGGGGCCTCGGACCTTTTTAGGATTTCCCTCGAATTCACGCGGGCACGTGTGTTGTTTGGGAGGCAAAAACGACGAAGCGTCTGTCCGCTGGCCATGTGTGTGTACCTATTTGCCAACTGCACCCAATTCCACATATTGTCAATGTGCCACGACACAAACCCACAGACACGTCGACTCTGATCTCCATAGTCAAGCCTGGAGTCTGGAGTTCAGCAAACCTTTTCCAGCGCCCGTGCTTCAGCTGTACCTGCAACGGTCCTTTTTGCTTGACCTGCTTCCGACTAGGAGTCCACTATCGTTGTAGGGATGTCAGAAACACGTGCCTGTGGTCATTGCTTAGAGACGGGTCGGACTTCGAACATCCAGCCAGTTTTGTCTCAGTCTCCGGACTATATTCAGGAGACCTTCAGCTCCATCTCCGCCGGCAACTTCCACACCTGCGGCTTAACCTTGGGCATGGACGTGTGGTGTTGGGGCCGTGTGAACCTTTATCGCCTGCTCCCCGGAGGTCCAGGAGGCACTGTTTGAGCCCTTTCACCCTTTGCCGGAGGCTTGGATTTCAGGACACCATCGAATGCCACGATGTTGAGCAGCGGCGGCATCCATGCGTGTATCCTCGACATCAACCAGAAGGCCAAGCCAACGAGCCGCCAGAGGTTGTCGGGCGTATTTTTGGAGGAAGAACACTGCTGCCTTTAGTGCCGAGGAGTGGATGTTCAGCCCGGCTTTCATGCATTGTTGCCAGGCCAGATGCTGGGGAGGTGACAACGTTGGACAGGCAGCGGTGCCGCTAGACTCTGCAACTTATCCGTTGGGTGCTCGGCATTGCTGAAAGACGAGCTTGTGGATGAGAACTGTGAGTTTCAGAAGAGGCCTTCGATCCTCGACTACTCAAACGATCCGCTTGACATTAACGGCGAGGACCGACAGAAATGAGAAGTCCAGCATGGCGAGCGTGCAGCTCGGCTGCTGTTTGCCGTAGGATCCAAGTATGCGGATCTATGAGTATGTTCCGGGCTACTCCACGCCACTGAGGCTGCGGACCTGCTGAGAGAAGATCTGTAATATGCACTCCTGCATGAACCCAGGACGAAGCAGCACGTCAACATGGCTCAAATCTCAGCAAGCTCTTTGCTATCTTCGCCACCAAAGACATGCCAAAGCTGACAAAGCTACGTGCGGGCATGTCAAAGGCAATCTTTTTTCCGGAGTTTGCCCTTGCTGACTCAGCCACGTGCAGTTCCCAGCTGGGACGTCCACACATAGCGTCGCAGATCAGTTCCTATCAGCTCCTGACGTTATTTGAGGCTGACATTCACGCATGTCGACGGGCCTGCGGACACTTCAGTCTGAAGCCCTCCCTAAGCAGTTGACTGAAAAGTTGAATACTTGGTGCAAGATGCGCGCAGGACCCTTATTCCCCGCATGTCATCCAGTTCCCAGACTCTTGGAATGCCCCCGTCATCAATGAGCTGAACATCTCAGCCTTTGACCTGTCGCATTGGTATGATCTTCGCTTGGGGCCATCTCGTTCGGGTCCCAGAACAGTGCTTGCTCCAGCGCCCATTTGTGTTTGTTGCGGTCGGGTAGCAATGGCAGTGGCGGTGGCAGCAGCGGTAGCGGTTGGTAGTGGTAGTAGTAGTAGTAGTAGTAGCAGTAGTAGTAGTAGTAGTAGTAGTAGCAGTAGTAGTAGTAGTAGCAGCAGCAGCAGCAGCAGCAGCAGCAGCAGGAGTAGTAGTCCTTCGCGG